GGAGGAGGAGGAGGCCAGCTGGAATGGGAGGCGGTGGAGCCGGAGGCGGACGAGAGGAGGCTGAGTGTGCGGATGCACAGGTAGAGACTGACGAACAACGACACGACGACCATCCCCTTTCGCGCCTCCGCCCCTTCCCCGCCACCTCCTTCCCCCTCCCGGGCCGCCCGCGCATGTGCGTTGCTTTCGTTGTTTCTCTTCCTTTCTCCCCCGGTCTGGGTCAGGGGCCGTTGCCCGCAGGCCGCGGGGGTGTACAGGTGCCTTTGTAATGGACGGCGCCCTCACACGCCTAACCCCGGTGGCCACCAATCCTGAAGTGGGAAGCTCCCGATTTCAAAGAGGAGGAGGAGCAGCAGGAGGAGGAGGAGGAAGAGAATGAGCAGTAGGAGGAACACTTGGAGGAGGGAAGATGGACGTGGATGAGGCGGACGAGGTTGGTGGTTTCGGCGGAGTAGGACGGAGGAGGAGGAGGAGGAGGAGGAGGAGGAGGAGGAGGAGGAGGTTGACGGGGTGTGGAGACGCAGGATTTCAAGGGGGAGTGAAAGGAGGATGAAGGACGGTTGGACGAAAGAGGAGTACGGAGAGGAGGAGAAGTATAACGAAGCACGTGAGCTAGGGAGCACGTGGAGGCCGAGGGAGTACCAGCGCAACTCCTACTGCACGGCGCAGTTATTCGCCACCGTCCTCACCCTCCTCCTTCTCCTCCTCCTGTTCCTCCTCCTCCTCCTCCCTCCTCCTCCTCGTCCTCCTCGTCGAGCTCCCCCCGCACCCCCGCGCAACCGAGGGGGCAGAGGAGAAGGAAGAGGGCCGGTCGGGGCAGCCGCCCGAGGTCAAGCTGCCCCCGGGGGCGAACCAGGCCGCGCCCCCCCCTCCCCTGTGCCGAAATGTCATGCGGAGACTGTCCTGGCGCCGCTTTCCTTGACTGATCTGACCTCCCCTTCCCCCTTGTCGTCGTCGTCGCCACCCTCCTCTTCTTCATCTTTCTCCCCCCCCCCTCATCTTTTTCCTCCTCCTCCTCCTCCTACTCCTCCTCATTGTCCACGTCTCTTCTTCAGGGGAAAGGGATGCGAAGAGGGAGGGTGATAAGAAGGATGATGAACACCCCATGGGCACAGGGGTTGCTTCCCGTGTTCCTCGTTCCGTTCTTCCTCCTCCTCCTACTCCTCCTCCTTCTCCTCCTCCTCCTGCTCTGTTTCCTAATCCTGCCATTTTCTTCTCGTCCTCCTTAGTATTCCTACTCATCTTCCTCCTCGCGCCCCTCCCCCCGAACCCTTGGGGGGAGGATTGGGCAGGACGAGTAGGAGGACGAGGGAGGAGGGAGGGAGTACGAGCAGGATGAAGAGCGTGAGGCGGATGAGGGTATAGGGATGTGCAAGAGTATCCCTGCCATTATCCTCATCTTCCTCCTTTTGCTCGCCGTTCTCGGTCTCGTTCTGACTCTCCTTCTATTCGTCTTTCTCCGCTTCCTTTTCCTCCTCGGGTTTTCCCTGCCCCATCTGAGCTGGCGGTTTTGGGACAGGCTGGAACACTGACAATACATGATCTGCTTTTTGGTCGGCGCTCGAGCTGACCTCTGGGAGGCAGCTCGCTTATCCTTCTGCTCCATCCCTCGCTCTTCTCCGTCTACCATCGCTGAAGTAATCAGGAGGTCGATGGACATGTCGTTCTGACTTACTGACTCGCATCTCCGCGGCTCCCCCCGTTCCCCTTGGCGAGGTCGCCATGCCAACCTCCTCCGACTTCTTTTTGCTCCTCCTCCTCCTTCGTACGTCTTGCCAGGGCCTGCGCTCGCTCTCTCTCTCTCTCTCTTGTCGTTGCCGCGTCTCTCCCCCGCCCCCGCCTTTGCCCGTTTCCACAGCTCGTCCGCACCCACCGACCGCATTCCGCGGCGCCACGGGGACTGGTGCCGGCCTGCGGCAGCGTGTGTGTGTGTGTGTGTGTGTGTCCCTGGGGTGGATCCCTGTCCCTGGGTTCTGAGGGGGCCGGCCGCGCGCGCTTCCCGCTTCTATCTCTCCGACCTTCTACGCCTCGACGCTGCCCGCGTGCGCGCGCTGCTTTGATTGCTGCACTTTCTCCGGCTCGTTGCTGCTGGTGAGGCAGTAACCGCCGAAACAGGTGTGTGTGTGTGTGGTGTGTGTGGTGTGTGGTGTGTGGTGTGTGTGTGTGTGTGAGTGTGTGAGTGTGCTTGCATGTGTCTGTAATTCCGCCCTTCTGTCGCCGGGTCGTTGCTGTGCAGCGGTCGACGAAACTCTACGTCACCCCATCTGCGTGCCGGGGGAAGCGCGTGCGTGTGACGCTAGGCTGGGACCTTCCTTGCCTGAGTGGTGATCCCAAGGGGTCTCTAGAACCCCCCCCACCCAGTAAGCGAAATTATTCATTTTCTCCGCGGCCTTATTGACGGGCTGGTGTCCCACCAATAGAAGGAGATTGTTGCTTCTATGTTTTTTTCCGCGTCGCCCGCCAGCACCGCTCTCATGGGCATCCTTAGTTCAGACACTTGGCAAAGCAATTGTTCTGAAAGCTCCATCCTGAGAAGGACTACTGAAGGCAGGCCCCGCGCGAGCCCTCAGAGAATCCATCTCCTATCGCGTGGAGATTGGACAAACTATGGCGAGTTATGTTTTTGTCCACGCTGGAAAAGTCGCCATGTTGGCCGCGCGCGCCGACCAAGCCCCAGCAGGAACTCTGCCACAAGGCAGACGGTTTTGAGCAAACTCGCGAATCAAAACGAAGCAATGCATACTACAATCATCATGGAAAGATGCTTACAAGTCCTCCCGCGTAAAGGGTAGCCCACAATATATTACTGCGATGGAGAAAGTTACCCCCCAAACATTACCCAGCCCGCCCAAACATCGAGGGGAGCTGATCCCACGTCGCCGCGCGGGCCGACCAGGCGCCAGCAGGAGTTCTTCCAGCAGTGCTAGGCAGGCGAGTTTGAGCAAACCTGCAAATCCAAACGAAGCAGTTCCTGAGGCAATCCTCATGAGAAGATGCTTACAAACCCTCTCGCATGCGGGGTAGCCCACAATACATTATTTCGCTGGAGGCAGAACCAACCATTATCCAGCCCGCCCAACAGTAGAGGGAAACTGATCCCACGTCGCCGCGCGCACTGACCAGGCGCCAGAAGGAGTTCTGCCAGCAGTGCGAGGCAAACGAGTTAAAGTAAATCCGCAAATCAAAACGAAGCAATTCCGATGGCAATCCTCATGGATTGCCATCGGAATTGCTTACCATGGATCAAAAGGAAGCATGGCGATTCCGAAGCCCACAATGGATTATCCCGCTGAAGAAAGAGCCCCCAAACATTATCACGCCCGCCCAACAATAGAGGGAAACTAATCCCACGTCGCCGCGCTCGCTGACCAGGCAACAGCAGGAATTCTGCCAGCAGTGCTAGGCGCACGAGTTTGAGCACATCCGCACATCAAACCAAAGCAGTTCCTATGGCAGTCCTCATGAGAAGATGCTCACAAATCCTTCCGCGTGCGGGGTAGCCCAGACTGGATTAGTCTGCTGGAGAAATTACCCCCGAAAATTACCCAACCCGGCCAACAATAGAAAGAAAATAATCCCCGCCGCGGCGAGGAGGTTTTAGGACCAGTGTTATTTAATCACTTCGCTCACTCCGTCGGCCCATATTGCCTCGCCGTTGTCGTTTGTCGGGGTGTTGTTGTCAATGCGGTGCGGTTGGGCGGCTGCCATTTTCGGAGGCGGTGGGTGGCGGGTCAGAGGCCTCACGGATGTTGGTTGGGCTCTCGTGGTTGGCTTCTCAGGGGTCTTTTGGGAGGCAGTTTTGAACCTGTTGGGGGCCGTGTTGGGGCCTCGTGGGGCCTCTTGGGGGCCTCTTGGGGTGCCTCTTGGGGGCCCTTGGGGCCTCTTGGGGGCCTCTTGGGGCCTCCTGGGGGCCTCGTGGGACTGAAGGCTGGACTTTTCGGTTCCTGGTCACCTTCTTGGGCCCCCCTTGGGACCGTTTTGGGGCTCTCTTGGGCCGTCTTGGGCGCCTGTTAGGCTGTCTTGGGGCCATCTTGGGCCGTCTTGGGGCCGTCTTGGGGTCCTCTTGGACCCTCTTGGACCCTCTTGGGGCGATCTTGGGAGCCTCGTGGGCCATCTTGGAGCGTCGGGAAGCCGAAAAAGGAGAAACCCGAAAATATGTCCAAAACCTATTGGGAATCACTTAATTTTGCCTCTCGGGACCCTCTTGGGAGTGCTTTTGGAAGCCTTTGGGGGCGTCTGGAGGCCATGGTGGGCGTCTTGGAGCGATCTTGTGGCATCGTCGGCCGATCTTTCGAGGACTTCAAGGGCTCTTGGACCGTCTGGGCGCTCTCTTGAGGCCGTCTTGGGCGCCTCTTGGGCCGTCTGGGGGGCCTCCGGCCTCTCTGACGGGCACTTGCCGGGACTTTGGCGGGGTGCTTGTCGCGTCGGGCCCTCCAGGGGCCGCCTCGCGCGCTCGAACTTGTTATATTGTTAACTTGTTACCGGAGATCTTAGCACGCCTCGATCTAGCCGGTAGTGCCGGCGAATTCCCCGCCGAGAGATCAGAGGGGGGTTAAATCTACATATCCCTAGGATTAACCCGGAGCTGCTTGGCCTGCTCAACTGATCGTCGATGGGCCCAGGAATCGGCCAGCTCAACCGACCGTCGCTTCGATATATCCTCATCATACCCCTCCTCCTCCTCCTCCTCCTCCTCCTCCTCCTCCTCCTCCTCCTCCTCCTCTTGAGTCTGTCTCAGTTCTGCACGGAGGCTGTAGGCTCCATGCCGCTTCCCACGCCATTGTACTGCCGCGCACTGCGTTCAGTTTTAGGGTGCATCGCTTGATGATGTGTCCGATCTGATGTTCCCGGTGGCACTCTCTTTCCCTCTCCCCCTCAGTTGTGGTGCGCTCCTCGCCTGCCCTATCGACCGGCGTCGCTCCTCCCGAAGCTCGGCCTCCCCCCACCCCCGCGGCCGGGAGAAGAGGGTACAGCCGGCGGTCGCCCGCCCGATGCTTCCGAGGCCCACGCCGGGGACACGGAGGCTTCCCCGCCGACCAGCAGCAGCAGCAGCAGCAGCAGCGCCAGCAGCAGCCGCAGCGCCAGCCCAAACGGGGGCCCCCGGTTCCCAAACCCGGTGAAGATGAGCGCCCACGGCGGCGACGACGAGGCGCTTGCGCCAGTCTTCACCCAGGAGCGGCCAGGGAGGGGTCGGGATGTTCTCACCATCTCCAGGCAGCAGCGTCGGGGAAGCCTCCAGGACTTGGAGTTCCCCTCGCCGGACGGCTGGATCCAGCTCGAAACAATGCGTCGACAGAAGGTGTCGGGAGTCCTGGTCGTGATTGTTCACGACTTCGAACGCCATTGGGGTCCGACCAGGGTTTGCAGGGATTGCCATCACGGGGGGGGGGGCAGCCAGGCCGAGGGGGCAGGAATCCGATTTGTGTGGGGGCGTGATCGCCTCCCAAAGGCGCCGGAGGCTTGCCAAACTGCCGAGGGAAGCCGAATCGGTTTCAAGATCTCCACGTTCTTGCCGTTTCTCCTGCGCCCCTTTTTCCCCCCCCCCCTCCCCCGCCACCCCTCCTGCTGCTGCAACTCCGCCTCCTCCACGTTCTGTGGAAGCCTCCGACAGGCTCCGAAAACTTCCCAGACCGCGGAGGGAAGCCCCCACCCTTCGAAACCTCCGCATTCCTCGCTCGACCTCCTCCTCAGCTTCCTCCTGCTCCCCCCTCTTGTCCCCGTCCTCCTCCTCCTCATTTCCGTCATCCGTCTCCTCCTCCTCTTCCTCCTCCTCCTGCTCCTCCTTCTCTTTCTCCTCCTCCTCCTCCTCCTCCTCCTCCTCCTCCTCCTCTTCCTCCTCTTTCTCCATATCCCTCCCCATTCCCTAGAAGCCCCCCAAAAAGGCGTCGAACACTTCCCCTAACCGCCGAGGGTAGGTGCCTCCCGCTCTGAATTATCTCCCCCCTCCTTTCTCCTCTTCCTCCTCCTCCTCCTCCTCCTCCTCCTCCTCCTCCTTCTCCGCCTCCTCCTCCTCCTCATCATCATCAGCATCATCATCCTAGTCCTCATCCTAATCCTAATCCTAATCCTAATCCCCTCCTCCTCCTTCTCCTTCTGCTCCTCCTTATCAGCAGCATAATCAGCAGCCGCAGTAGCATCATCATCGTCAGCATTCCCACCATCAGCACCGTGATCATGACCATCATCACCACCACCATCATCATCATCACCATCATCATCAGCAGCATCATCATCGTCATCATCATCAGCAGCAGCATCATCATCACCATCTTCGTCATCATCATCCTTATTAACAGCATCCTCAACAGCAGCATCACGATCATGAGAATGACCATTACCATCATAATCATCATCATCACCCCACCACCATCGTCATCATCATAACCATCATGACCCTCATACCAGCATAGCCATCATAACCATCATCATTACCATCAACATCACCATCATCACCAGCAGCATCATCATCATCATCATCATCATCATCATCATCATCATCATCATCATCGCCATCACCATCATCATCACCACCAGCATCGCCATCAGCATCGCCATCAGCATCACCATCCATCATCATCATCATCATCATCATCATCATCATCATCATCATCATCGTCATCGTCATCGTCATCGTCATCATCATCATCATCATCATCTTCATCAGCAGCATCATCATTATCATCATCATCATCACCATCATCGTCATCATCATCAGCATCATCATTACCGGTGTTTTCATCTTCGTCAGCATCGTCATCGTCATCGTCGTAGCCGTCGTCGTCTTCTGTTGTCATCATCATCGTCATCGTCTGTGTCATCTTTGTCGTGGTCGTTACCGTTAATGCCACCATCACCATCACCCTCACCCCAAACATCATCACCATCACCCTCACCCTCACCATCACAATCATTATAACCACCAATCCCACCACCATCATCATCAGCAGCATCATCATTATTCTTGTCAGCATCAACATCAACATCAACACGATCAGCATCATCATCAGCAGCATCAGCATTATCATCACCAGCATCATCATCACCATCATCATTCCTTCTGATTGTCCTGCTTCGTCCCTGGCGCTTCCTCATCTCCCTTCTCCTCCCCCTCCTCATCCTCTTCGTCCAGGGTGGAGGAGGGGGACGCGGAGATGGAGGACGCAAACCACCAGAACGTGTCGGCGGACCTCCCTCAGCGACACGCACTGATGCGTGCCCCTGCGCTCCAAAACCGCATCCGTGCGTTCTTCTATCCAGACGTCCGACGCCGTGAACAAGAAGGCGACGTCGCAGACAAGATCAGGGCCTGAGTCCCCGACCCCATCTTAGTGCCTGACCTCTCGAGCTGGACCGATCCGTGAGGCTCTGGTGGGCCGAAGCATTGCAGAGCTGGCCGTCACGGGACGCCCCCTCGCTTCTGTGCCCTCGTGCCTCCGTGCCACGTCGCATCTCGGTCGAAGTCGTGCCGCTCGTCGGCGCTCTCACGATCTGCTCTGGCGAGGACCGCGCGCTGGAGGTGCAGCACCGGCCGAAGGGCACGCCCGCGCCTCAGGGGTGCAGCGCCCGCGCGCCCCAGCTCCTCGCCCTCGTGCCTGGCGCCCCCCCTCCTTCGCGGCCGCCTGCTCTCCCTCCTCCGGTCCCTCCCTCCTCTCGTCCCTCTCCGTCTTCCACCCTCCCTGCGTCCTCTCCCTGCCCCCTCCCTAACCCTGCTTGTTCCCTGGACCGCCGCCTCCCTCCAACTTGCCGTGTTGGTGTTCTTCCCCTCTCGCTCCTCCGCCTCGCACCCCCCCCCCACTTCAACCCCTCTTCTCCTCACCCTCGCCTCCCCTCCCCTCCCCTCCCTGCTCCTCACCTCCCTGTCCATCTCTCCTCTTGCCGCGACTCACCTCCCTGTCCTGCCTCTGTCCACTCACATCCACACCTGGATCCGCCCTCCATCCCCTCCCTGTCCCCCATTCCTGTCTCCCAGCCTGTCCAAGAAGAGAGAAGGTGCGCCTGGAGCGCTGCAGAGATTGCTCGACAGTCGAGGGCTACCTGGCTACCTCGGTGTTTCAGTGTACAGAATTGTCACATGCGTGATGGAAGGTGTGCCCAACCAGTTTCCGCTACATTTCCTAAAACATCAGATCCCGTCAGATGACCGACGGGAGAAAGCGGGGTCTTCTGCGCCGACGTCCCGCGCAAGGTCGTGCGTAAACGCCCTCTTCTTCACGCGGCGTGCCACGCTGGCGACCCGCGTAAGGCACCGCGTGCGGTCGCTATGCCATCGTACCCAAGACACTGTTCTTTTCGTCGCTCATATATGTAGTACTGTCTTGCGGGGAGGAGGAGGAAGGAGGGGGCACGCACAAACCGGATGAGCGCGTGAGAGGATGGACAGGAGAGGACGGCCTGGGCCCAGGTCCCTCCAGAGGCGCACGCTCCATATTGCGGGGGGATTCCTCGTCCCCCCCCGCCGCAGGAGTCCGGATTCCGGGGCTATCGCGAGCTCTCGCGTCCGTCACCGCAGAGATATATTAGCGATGCCGCGTACAGCAGGATCTATCATAACGCTTGTGTGTAGAGGACTGGTACCATACTGTGCATAAGACGTTCGGCTGTCGCCGAAAGTCTGGGGAGCCCTTCGCCCCCGGGTCGCGTGTAAGGGGCCCTTGCCTGCTGTGTCGTCATCGAAAAAAAAGAGGCGCACGTTCACCTGCCACTGAAAAACAGGACGCACGCGCAAGAAAACTAGCTGGACGAAAGACCCAACTTTATGCAGCTGCGAGTGCCGCATTGTGGGTACCGCTTTCGGTGGAGCTCCGTATGGGGCCACGACCCGTGTGAGGGGCGTGCCGAATTGAGCGCGGTGGTGCCATACGAAGCCTCCCACTGGAGCCTTCGGTGGAGTATCCTCCGGGGCCACAAGACGTATGAGGGGGTGCACCGAATTGGGTGCGGTGGTGCCATGCGAACCCTCCCACTGAAGCCTTCGGCGGAACTCCCTATGGGGAGCGCCGAAATGAGGGTGGAACTGCATGCGAACCCTGCCATCGGGGCATTCGGTGGAGCTCCCTATGGGGCCACGAGCCGTGTGAGGGGTGCGCCGAGATGAAGGTGGAACTGCATGCGAACCCTGCCAGTGGGGCCTTCGGTGGAGCTCCCTCTGGGGCCACGAGCCGTGTCAGAGGGGCACCGACATGAAGGTGGAACTGCATGCGAACCCTGCGAGTGGAGCCTTCGGTGGAGCTCTCTATGGGGTCACGGACCGTGTGAAAGGGACACCGAAATGGGGGCGGAACTGCATGCGAACCCTGCCGCAAGGGCCTTAGGTGGAGCTCCCTATGGGGCCTCGAACCGTGTGAGGGGTGCGCCGAAATGAGGGTGGAACTGCATGCGAACCCTGCCAGTGAGACCTTCCATGGAGCTCCCTATGAGGCCCTATGGGGCCACGAACCAGAGATGGGTGCGCCAAAATGAGGGCGGAACTTCATGCGATCTCTGCCGCCGGGGCCTTCGGTAGAGCTCCATATGGGACCACGAACCGTGTGAGGGGTGCGCTGAGATATAGGTGGAATTGCATGCGAACCTTGCCTCTGGTGCCTTCGATGGAGCTCCCTATGGGGCCTCGAACCGTGTGAGGGGTGCGCCGAAATGAGGGTGGAACTGCCTGCGAACCCTGCCACTGAAGCAGTCGGTGGAGCTACCCAGCTACCTATGGGGCCACGAAGCGTGTGAGGGGTGTGCCAAAATCAGGGTGGAACCGCCTGCGAACCCTGCCGCTGGGGCCTTCGTTGGAGCTCCCTATGGGGCCACGAAGCGTGTGAGAGGGGCACCGACATGGGGGTGGAACTGCATGCGACCTCTGCCGCCGGGGCCTTCGGTGGAGCTCCCTATGGGACCTCGAACCGTATGAGGGGTGCGCTGAGATATAGGTGGAACTGTATGCGAACCCTGCCACTGAGGCATTCGGTGGAGCCTCCTATGGGGCCACGAACCGTGTGAGGGGTGCGCCGAAATGAGGGTGGAACTGCATGCGCACCCTGCCACTGAAGCAGTCGGTGGAGCCTCCTATGGGGCCACGAACCAGAGATGTGTGCGCCAAGATGAGGGTGGAACTGCATGCGAAACCTGCCACTGAAGCAGTCGGTGGAGCTCCCTACGAGGCCACGAACCGTGTGAGGGGTGCGCCGAAATAAAGGTGAATCTGCATGCGAACCCTGCCATTGGGGCCTTCGACGGAGCCCCCTTATGGGGCCACGAACTGTGTGAGGAGTGCGCCGAAATGAGGGCGGATTTGCATGCGAACCCCTGCCGCTGGGACCTTCTGTGGAGCTCCCTATGGGGCCACGAAGCGTGTAAGGGGTGTGCCAAATTGGGGCGGCGCCGTCATGCGGACTGCGCGGGAGGAGGGGGGGGCAGCGGGAGGAGGAGTGACGCGGGGCGCTGTCTCTTCAAAAGAGGACCCGACACCACGGGATGGTTGAACCAAAACGGGCGCCGTCAAAGGATTGATGGCCTGCCGGCGAGCTGCCTACCAGATGTACATCATCCCCCGCTGCCTGCAGCAGGACACGGCCCCTGTGCCGATCGGGAGTAGCGTAGCATAGCGCAGCTCACCTCCTAGCTTGATCCCAGAGTACCCAGGATTTGGCCAAGACGCCCAGGATTTGCACTCCTTACCTCCAGGTCGCCCTACACGGAGCCGCCGGATCTCCAGGCCCGAGCCCCCGCGGCTCCCGGCGGCCTCTCGCACCTCCTCGCCACTCCTCCCTCTCCATCCTCCATCCGCCATCGCTGCTCGCCTTCGCTCCCTCCCCTCTTCTGAAAGGGAGAGTTGCATCAGTTCTGGGTGCAGGACGTTTCGCGCTGCTGCCAGAGCGTGGCTCTGCCAAATAGGAAGGCGGCAACGAGCTGACGGAAGGCATAACTATATCCCCACGCACCCGCGTTTCGTCCTCACTGCGCTCTCCTCGCCTCTTTCTGTCCTCCAAGGGCGTCCCTCCCTCCCCCCCGCCCTCCTCAGTGGGATCGTGGAGTCCTCTTCCCATCAGCGGGGACGCTGGCGACTTTCAGTATGATCTGACAGTTGAGCTTCCAGGCAAGGTCTTCACATGTGCTCATCTCTCGTGCTGGCGCTCTGGCGCCCGTCCGCTGCACCCGCGTAATTAGGCCTTTCCGTGCGGGCATGCCGCGTGTAGGTCCTTTCGGCCAGGTGAGCCATACGCCGAAGCAAGCAGGTGAGGAGACACAAGGAAGCGAGGCCGCGCGCTTGCAGTACCACCTCGTGGGGCCCTGCGCGCGCTCAGCGAGGCCGCACTCGGCAGCAGCAGCTGCAGCACTGGGCAGCAGCATCTGCCACCTGTCGCCTGAGCTGGACCGCCCTCCTCCCTTCCGTCCTCGGGCGCGCGCGGGTACAGTCAACCCGCAGAGCAAGGATGAGCGACTTTCCAAGGCTACCCCTGCATCCTTCCCCTTCGGCACGTCCTTGGCCGCTTTCGCCAGCCGCGCCCCGCTCGCAGAGTGTCGACACGGCCCTACAAGGCCCTTGCATCCCCACCGCGCGTCCTGATCGTACGGGTTGACTGTACACGCATGTCGTTGAAAGTAGGTATTCTTGGACTCCAAGATCCCGATCTAGCTCAGGCGCCTTCCTACTTCAAGCATCGATCTGCTTTTGCTGTGCTGTGCCATTCTCTGGGAGGGCCTGAACCCGACCCACTCTGTCCGCCTTCCTGCACTTCATGTCTGTACCCTCTTCTCTTCCGACCGCTGTGCGCCCCACCCCCCCGCGCGCGGAGCCCGAGGCTGCGGAGCGGCGGCGGCCCTGGGGCCGTCGCCTTCGCCCCCGCGGCGCGCTCGCCGCCACGCGCGCAGGCTCAGCGGGCCGAGCGAGAGCTGCCCCGTGCCCCGGCGCGGGGGGGGAGGAGCGCCCACAGAGGGAGGAGGAGGCAGGAGGGGGTAGGCGGAGGAGGAGGAGGAGGAGGAGGAGGGGGGGAGGAGGAGGAGGAGGAGGAGGAGGAGGAGGAGGAGGAGGAGGAGGAGAGGAGGAGGGAGGAGGTAGGCGGAGGGGGAGGAGAGGGGTAGGCGGGAGGGGGAGGGGAGGGAGGAGGAGGAGGAGGAGGAGGAGGAGGAGGAGGAGGAGGAGGAGGAGGAGGAGGAGGGAGGGGGAGGGAGGGAGGGAGGGAGGGGGCTGGCGGCGCGCACAAGGGGATGGAGGGAGGGGGGAGGGCTTCTTGGAAGGAGGCTGCTTCTCAGAAGGCGCCGGACTTACATCTATAGATGAGGCCCGCGCCTTCGAAGAAGCAGGGGGGCTTCGAAGAAGCCCTCCCCCCTCCCCCCACACCCCTCTGCGCGTGGCTGATTGGAGCGCCCACACCCGGCCCCCACCGCCGCGGCTGCTGTGGGGCGCTCTCGGCCAGTTCTGGGCCGCCTGGGGGGGTGGACCCAGTAGAGAGCCGACGCTCCGAAAAAGCTGGGGTGGGCGGTTTTTGGCCGTTTTCGGCCTCCGGGGGCCCTCGCCGGGCTTTGGGAGCGTCAAAAGACGACTCAGGACGAAGAACCGGCCCTGGGGAAGTGGGCCGGGCCTCGGGGGCCCACGCATCGACAAAATTGGAGCAGCCGGATGTCTGGGACTGTCGCCGCGGCTGGACTCTCCTGCGAGATTTTGTTCGCCAGCGTGCGCCCCAGGCCCCAGGAGAGGTCCCGGGGCGGAGTTCCGAGGGATGTGGACACGTGCGACCGGCGACTCGAGACGATCGCGCTGGAGGCTTCTCGCGGGGGCTGTTTCTGGTCCCAAGGGGGGGCGTCAAGGACCGGCTCATCGATGGAACAGCAGCCCTTAGGGAGGCTGGTCGAGAGGACTGTGGGGGAGGCAGCGTTTCGACAAGATGCAATGCGTCGAGGGTATGAGGTCAAGGCCTCCCGTTGTCAAGGCCTGGGGGTGGGCATAGACAGCTCCAGAGGTACTGTGGGGGCGTTCGTTCAGGAGTGTGCCCAGAAGGCTTCAGACCCTGGAGGTTCCTGATCTGATGAGGGCGGCGGTGGTATCCACGGCCAGAGCGTTAATTGGTGATCCCCAGGCTTTACAGACCCTGGATTCCCGATCGAATGGTTCCTGAATTATCCGATGCCCTTTCCGTGCAGTTGGAATCTCAAGTGTAGCAGAAGTCGAGAGCAACCAGGCGGCGCCTCCCCGGGCTCTCCGCTCCCCTGGGGTTGAGGGGTCGAGACCGCCCCGGACAACCATGCAGGGGTTCCACGATGAGCCCAAGAGAGCCCCCAAGAGAGCCCCGAGAGAGCCCCACGAGGCGCCCAAGAGGCCCACGAGGCACCCAAGAGGCACCCAGGAGGTCGCGCCCAAGAAACCCCAAGAGGCCCCCAAGAGGACCCCGACTATGCCCCCCAGAGGCGCGCGAGAGTATCCCAAGAGGTTCCCAAGAGGTCCCCAAGAGGCCCCCCAGCAGGCCCCCAGGGCCCCCAAAGACGCTCCAAAAGGCCCCCAAGAGACCCAGAGAGACATCCTAGGAGACTCCGAAAGGCTGTTCAGGCCAGCCAGTACTACATGTGGGTGCCGTCTGTGCGCAGTCCTGGGTCTTGCCAACAGTTGTGCCGGTCCGGAAGGTGCCTCCCATCTTCGCTTTGGCCCAGCGGCCAGCGTCACTTCGTCAGTGTTTCAGGAGTCCAGCCCAGTTTCCGCCCACCTTGCGCATGCACGGAGCTGCACGCGCAAGGCGGGCATGGCATTTTGTCATATTCTGGCAGATGGCCGGCCTTTGCTTCTGAGGCAAATCGCTTGTCAATCCTATCTTACCATGAGGGCTCAGGCCAACGAGACTGAACCCGACCCCAACCAACCAATAGGGATTTGGATATCTGGGTGGTGTTGGCGATTTTGTCCTCAACGACCTTGGTTGCCCCCCCCTCTCTTTGGTTTGGTCAGGGCGTCTCTTCTCAATATCCCGGCCCTCATCCTCGCCCTGCTCCATTCCCTCCTTCTCCTTGTGACCGTTGGTCGGAAGCACATGCTTGCAGACTCTTCGCGACCATATTGGAAGCGGACTCCCCGTGCTGCCGCTGTTCAAACAGGCCCCACAACCCGAAGGGCTCCGGAGTCGGAGGAGGCTCGGCGGAGCGCAACTGGAAAGGGGGCCTGCGCGAGGGCGGGGGCAGGCTTCCGAGCAGGCACCCCGCCTGGCAGACGTCCCCCCCCCGCTGCCCTGAAAGAGAGGCCTTTCCCGAAGTCTCCAGGAAGGGGGCAAAGCCCCCCGAAGAAACCCCAGGCTCCCCCCCTCTCGCCCTGCTCCCATGTCTCGGACTGCCGCTGGCAGGAGGGGGCGTTCGCCGCAGCCTCCCGGACCTCGCCCGGGGTGCAATCTGGCCAGAGCTGCGAGGGGAGTCCTCCAGCGGTGGCGACGAGGGCGAACCTTGATCATCCATCGGTCGTCTCAGAGGTCCAACCTTGTCCTGTGCTGCTGGGTCCTCGTTTTGAAGGGGCAGCGCCCCGCGTCACTCACCCTCTTCTCCTCCCCTCCCTCCCTCCTCCCATTCCTGCCTCTGCCTTCCGTATGTCCATGTCGGCACACCCCTCACACGTTTCGTGGCCCCACGGGGAGCCCCACCGAAGGCCCCAGCGGCAGGGTCCGCATGGCGCCTCCGCAACCATTTCGGCACACCTCTCAGACGTTTCGTGGCCCCAGAGGGACCTGCACCTCCTCCGTCCCACCTGCTCTGGATCATTCATCACAGATCGACTTCTGACGGTCCTGGGGCCAGAAGCGGGCCCCCAGATGCCGAAAACGACAAGGAGGATTTCAGTCGCCAAATCTCCAACATCGATCTCCGATCCTGCGGCAGGCCTGGAGTTCGCCGCAGCGCCCCGCGCTCGGTGGCCCCGCGCTGGGCGGCCCCACGCTGGGCGGCCCGTCGCACGGCCGTGTGCCGCCTCTCGCCTTTGGGGCTGCCGCCGCCGCGGTGCCGGATCGGGCGCGAGCCCCTCCGCCCATGCAACCAGAGGTGTTGGGAAGATGTTCCTGGGCAAATTGAAATGCCAAGAGCATAATGACATAGTTCATGGCATCGTGAAGCAGGCGCTCGTCTTTGAAGAGCACGCCACTTGGGCGCCCCCCCCCCCCTCCGCCTCCGCCACCTCCTCCTCGCCGTCGCCCTCCTCCCCTTCTGTCACCTCCTCCTCGCCCTCGGCCTCCTCAACCTCCCCTCCTTGGCCCACGGTGTCCTGGCCGGCTCTTCGTGCCGTTTTGGAGCTTCTGGGCTCTCCGTTGGGTGCTCCGGAGGTCGCGAGGCGTGAGGGCCTCCTTGAAAAACTCCTGATGGAGAGGGGTGATTGGGAAGGGGGGGGGGGGGGGGCGTACGACAACTGGTGCATGCAGCTGGCTTCGGCCCCGCCGCCCAAGTTTCCCTTCAGATGCATCTGAGCGCCTCCGACGCCTGGAGGAAAACTGGCCAACGGGCCTGGATCGCCCCCGATCCTCCTTCCTTGCTATGCCCCCCCCTCCCCTTTCCGTCTGGCCCGAGCGAAACGAGCAGGGTCTGGCGCCACAGCGTCTCCCGAGGCGCGCAGCAGCAATGGGGTATAAGGTGGGGGTTAGTCCACAGCCACCTGCTGGGGGGTCGATTTTCGGGGAGCTCGGCCGGTGGTGGGTATGGACATGGGCCTCAGGTGTGGGTGTTGCTAGATATGCCCCCAAAGCTGGGGGCACCTTGGGCCAGGGGCACCTTGAGCAACCCCCTGATGGGGGTGGGCCAGCCATGCCCACATCCAGCGCCTCGCAGGGTGGCAGGCGGTGAAGCCGCGGGCAACTTCTGGGTGTTGCACGGGTGGGGGGGAGAGCGATCCTCCGCCCGGGCACGCGGGCGGGCGCGGGCCCTCCACTCGACAAGGGGTTGCAAGGGATGAGTGAGTGGTGGGACGTGGGAACGAGGGACGAGGGAGGAGGGAGAAGGGAAGAGGAGGGAGGAGGGAGGAGGCAGGAGGCAGGAGGGAGGAGGAGGAGGAGAAGGGCGAGGAGGAGGAGGAGAAGGAGGAGGAGGAGGAGGGCGAAGGAGGAGGAGAAGGAGGAGGAGGAGGATGGATGGGAGGAGGAGGAGGAGGAGGACCTGAGGAGAAGGAGGAGGAGGAGGACCTGAGGAGGAGGAGGAGGGAGGAGGAGGAGGGAGGGAGGGAGGCAACGAGGGAGCGAGGAAGCGAGGGAGCGAGGGGGCGGAAGGAGTAGAGGGAGCGGCGGGAGACGAGCGAGCGGAGGAAGGGAGGCGGAGAACGAGGAAGCCGAGGAAACCAGGGAGCCAGGGAGCCAGGGAGCCAGGGAGCCAGGGAGCCAGGGAGCCAGGGAGGGAGGGAACGAGGGAGGGAGGGAGGGGGCGAGGGAGTGAGGGAGGGAGGGAGGGAAGATGGAGGAGGAGGAGGAGGAGGAGGAGGAGGGTCCGTAGCAATTTTGGCTCAAGGCCATTTCGGGAACTCGACCCCCCGTCTCAAGTGGCCTGGCCCGCCGCGCGCGAGTGAGACCCTGGAGAGTTGCCCCAGGACAAGGGTCTCCGCATTTCTTCATATCCCGCGGTGCGACCGCGACACACTCAGTTCTGCCGACGGTACGACTCGTCCCTCTTGTGCCACATCTGTTCTGCGCAAGCGATGGGGAGCGATGGACATCGTGAAGCGGCAGCCGCCGCGACCCTCGAGGCCCTGGAGGCCATGGCGACGTTCCCATCGCAGGAGGTCGCCACTCCCCAACGTGCTGACCCTTCTGCTCATGCTGATGACGAATTGTCTGAAGGTCAGCCCCCAAGCAAGCGAGCTATCTTATCTTCGACGCACGGGGTGACCGACAACAAAGGAGTGGGAAAAGGTCTCTCGTCCGCCTCTGGTGCTTCATCGCCCTCTGCGGGCTCGAGCTCTGGTCGTGGCTTTGGAGTTCCACCACTGCCTGGAGGAGTCTCACAATCTCCCGAGGAGTTGGTTGCGATTCGTGCTCATGTGGACGCAGTTCAGGCAGCACTGCAACAGTCTATTGCAGCGGTGCAAAACAGTGTGCAGGCCTCCCTCACATCGATTTCAATTAATATTACTTCATCATTCCGAGACATCAGCCATGCCATGGAGTCGAGGATCAACCGCGTGGAGAATCGTGCTGATGACCAGGACAAGAGGCTGGATCGCATCGAGCACCAGATCGCCCAACTACGTCAAGAGTTGCAAGTGGTCCAGGGCGAGGAGCCTCAACCGCCTCTCCGCCCAGTGTCGGGCTCTAACTTCAACAGGGAGGTCGACCGTACCGTGGTGGTCATTCGCTCTCCCAAGCTGGTCTCGAAGTCGAACATGCAGAACGCGCTGGCGGACTGGCTCAAATATTGCAACATCAACGAGCAGGAGTACACCTTCGACGAACCCGAACCTGCAGGCCTCAGGTTCACGATGCGCTTCGCTGGGGCCAAGAACTATGCCGAGCGGAAGGTCAAGCAGGTCTTGGGCGCTCTTAAGACGCCCTCCCCTGGCAACGCTCCGCCGATTTGGAGGTCTTTCCGAGCTGAGTCGATCGCCGATGGCCCAGTCAACCTGTACGTCGGCCCCGACAAGAACACGGAGATGGTGCGCCGCGAGCTGGGTTGCAAGAAGATCAAAGGCGTGCTGGTCCGTGAATTTCCGCAGAAGCGCTTCTTCCTGGACAAGCACAAAGGGCGAGGTGCTGCTGGGCTGGAAGCCGATCTGCAAAGTGGCCCCCGTGGAGGGCCAGGACATGCCGAACCTCATGTGGGCGAAGGAGAACATGCGGGCTGAGGGTATGGATGTGCCGCGCATCCTGCAGCTTGCCACCGGCGTCTTCGGCCCCATCACGGAGACTGCGTGGAGTTCCTAGCGCGCTCAGTACCCTGTGGCATGGTCAAGCCAAACAGGACGGTGAGCATCACTTCGATTTGCGAGTGGTCACGTGGAACGCGAGGGCGTTGTTTCACCACGATGACTCACTGAGGGTGCAAAAAGTGAAGCTGCTGCGCCGTCTCGTGCAGTCTGGCACGATCGTTGCTTTGCAAGAGACGCACGGTGCCCCGTGCGACGTCAGGGACCTTCTCCACTCCCTCCACCTCCCTCTCCAGGCGCATTGGTCCTTTCACAATGATTTTCGTACAGGGGGCGTGATCACCATTGTCCATCGTTTCTTTCCTACTGATTCCCGCAGGGTTTCGTTGGGCGGCGCCCTCCCTCTCGTATCCTCCGCCCCCTTGATCCCTGGCCGCGTACTCCAGACCAAGATAGGGGCCGCGAATGGGCGGTGCTGGATCCAGCACTTTAACATCCACAACCACGGCCTCTCCGTGGCTGACGAGGCAGTTTTGTTCGGCGCGATGGCCACCGCGCTCCAGCGGGCACAGGGGGATCCCCTCAATAGATTGGTTCTCATCGCTGGGGATCTGAGCCTCTCATCCCATGAACCCCATTCCCCTTAACCCCCCGAATGGTGACTTCAGTGTGTTTACTGACCCTCACCCCCGCCCCCTCCCCAGGGACTGGAGTCAAGCCTTAGCCCACTCTGTTGAGTTAGAGCTTCTCTCCCCCTCTCACTTCAACAGTCAAAGCTCTTCGTTAAGTTTCCTGGGCAGGATCTTCTCCTCGCTGCCTGGCTGGATTCTCTCGCAATATGCTTCTGGGGGAGACGTCGCCGAGCGCCCAGAGGTGCTGGGCGCGAGAGGTCTCTCTGACCACGCGCCTGTCGCTGCCCACATTCGCGCGCGGCCGCCAAGGCCAGAAGGGGACAGGCCGATCCCCAAGGAGCTTTTCGCTTCGGCTCCGTACAAGTTCTTTCTAGAGCGCGCCACTCGGGCGGCTTCTTTTGACCACCTCTCCCCCCCCCCCCTCGCTCACGAGCATTGCAAACTTCTGATGACGGAGGCGGCCCGCTTCGCCAGAAACCAGCTCATCCAGAAACGCCCTCGCACCCACATCTCTAGATTTCTGGTCGTCCGAGGAATGGCACGTGCTCTGTTCCGCCAGGACTGGGTCTTGGCCCAGCGCCTTTTCCAATCTCATCCGCTTTGCCGAGAGCACCTCCTCATGGACCCGAACGCGCTCACCATCTCCCTCCGCGACCCACTCCGCTTCACGATCCTCTCCAACGAGCTCCACCTCAAGACTGCCCAGACAACGGAGCGTGCTCTCCAGGCTAGTGCTCAGCGGCTTTCGCATCCGTCTGCGATCGCCCGTGTCTCTGCCCGCGCTCGCAGGGTCAATCGGCTCGCGAGACTGTGGCCCCCGTTCGATCGGAGACTGATGCCGTCGGGCGTGCGCGCGAATGGGGGCGAGATTGTACAGACGCCCTCAGCGATCCTTTCGCACCTGGCTCAGCATTGGGCCCCGATCTTTACTGCTAAGGAGTGCCGCGACGAGGTGGCTGAAGCTTTTCTGGATAGGTTCCCCCCCCAAATGAGTTGCTCTGATATCCCCCCCCCCCCCCCCCCCCCCCTCCCCCCCCCCCCCCCCCCCCCCCCCCCCCCCCCCCCCCCCCCCCCCCCCCCCCCGACTTATCAGCGCATCCAGCGATATCTCAAAACCCAGACCCACAGTGCCCCAGGCCCTGACAGACTCCCTTACTGCGCTTGGAACTTCGCTCCTCGTGGCGCCGATGTTCTCCACAATTCGATGCGCTGGATTCACGCTGGGCAGAGCTTGCTCTTTGGCTATAACGAGGTAAGAGGAGTCTTTATCCCAAAGGGGACTGACCCGCCAGGAGAAGCTGCCGGCACTCGCCGCCCAGCGGAGACTAGACCTCTGGGGCTGAAAAACTGCGACAACAATGTGATCACGGGGGTCTCTGTGAAACCTCTGACCCTTGCCCTTCCCCGCGGCCTCGACGAGGCCCAGCGCGGGTTCGTTCCCAGCCGAAATTTTGGGCAGGATATCTTGGAGCTCGACGCCATCGGGCGGCAAGCTAGCATGCGCGACGCCCCCCTTATTTGCCCCCCCTCCCTCCTCTGTT